GTTATATGCATATATATATATATATATATATATATAGTTTTCGGTGTAATAGTAAGTATTTAGTCATAACAAATGATTATTCTTATTTCAATGAGAAACAGATTCTCAACATTTTCAAGATTTCACGAATCTTCTCATGAATTCTCATGAATTTTTCAGCTCCAAAAAAAGTTATCTAACATAGCGAAAGATATTCTTTCTTTTGAAGGAAACGGTTCTCCAAATCTGAGAAACAAAATCCTTCGCAATGTCAAATACTTTTTTTAATAGTTCACGTCTCCTAATTCCGACACTATTGATTAGATTTTGTTCAAACTTTGCATAAAGGTAGCTGCTCTGTAGCAAATTTGAACTCTACCTCTTCAATGATCCTTGAGTAATCGGTCAAAAATTGTCCAACTTCTAATTTTTGATGGAAAAAAGGGAATGAATGTTCCTGCTTTTAACAACGTTGCTTTGTGCAATTATTTTCCTAAATCTGTTGATGTCTCATATTTCAAACGTACTCTTACCTCATCCGTTCTGTCAATCAACGAACTGAAACTGGATCTGGATCCGTGTCGTTGGATAGTAGCCTGTTCCTCTACTCCCGCCAGTTCTGCTCTGCTTCGGAAAGGGCTGCTACCTGCAGCCGCTCTCGTGATACGATCGTTTTCCACGCATTGCGTCAGAGGGATGCCGAAAACCAGGCCGCCCGCATTTCCATCTGAAAGCATAAATCATATATGACTATAAATTTCCATTAGTTCTTATAAACACGTGAGATAAATATTTTCTAATAATAAGATATTGCTTCCATATCTAAAGAGTTCTGCGTATACAGTGTATAGATTTGAAAAGTTAGAGACTGAGGATCTGAACCAGAGTAGAAAGTGCGCAGGAAAATTAATAGTTATATATACAGGGGTGTCCCAGAATAACGTGTACAACTGAGGACTACAGATTCGTGGACTCAGAATAGTGAGATTTAGGCTAATTCAGCCAAACCGCTTCGTTTGGCCGCTAGATGGCCTCAAAGTTCCTGAAAATTTTTTGAATTTTGTAAATAACTCGAATACGTATTAATCGATTTTGATTATTTTTTGAGTGTAGACTTTTGCTTTCAATCTATACATTTTGGTGTTATACAGAGTGTTTTTTAAAACCTGAAACTCCTACAAAATTGATGTATGGTGATAATATCCGTTCATAACTTTTTCCTCTTTCGGGCAATAATGACAACTATTTTTTATCTGATAGGTGATACGATTTGAAAGTTTTTGGGCCTCTTGTAGAATTTTGATTAAATGAGCGGTTTAGGTGCAAAAAATATTTTTTAAATATCTACATTATCGTGCCACCCATATTATAATAGTTAACAAAGCGTTAGTAGGCACTGATTTTGTAGGTTGACTGTAATTTCAGTATGATCTTTAACTCATTGTACCTGACAATTAGTGAGTGTTTATGGCGATTAGATGTACCACCTGTTATTTTATTTTTCGATATGGATACACATACATACGACGAATTAGAATTATTTACAACGTGCCTAATTTTTATTCAAAAAATTAGAAAAAACAATCAACAACGCATTGATAGCATTATTAATTGACCATGTTATTCTACCCAATAGACTGAATGGCGAATTTTGTTTAGAATTTTTGCAAAACACTTTACCCGAGTTATTGGAAGGTGTGCCGTTATTGCTCAGAGCTAACATGTGGTTTATGCATGATGGAGATCCACCACATTTCACTGTCAATGTCCGGCAGTATCTGAATCAAAGATTCCCTCGTCGATGGATCGGTAGAGGGGATAATGTTCCTGTTAACTGGCCTGTTCGTTCACCAGACTTAACACCTTGCGACTATTATCTTTGGGGTACTTTGAAAACAATAGTGTATGCTTCCACATCTAACACTGAAGAAGAATTGTGGAGACATATCCAAATTGCCATAAATGTTTTAAAAAATTGTCCTTCCGAAAATATCATGATTGTTACCGTAAGGTAGTGGCGTACTATTTTATTTAGAAAAATATGCCACCGATACACTGTATCTGAGTATCTCCTCTACTGGAGCAACTAAATTTTAAGAAAAGGCCTTAGATTTTGAACAATATTTGGACATGTGCCTCATTTCAAATTATTTCACTTACTAGTTTTTAAATTATTTAAAAAAAATTAAAATATTTTTTTAAGTTTAACACCCTGTATCTTTTTAATAAAGCGTCTTAGATAAAAGGTTTGTACAAGAGACTCCCCTTAAAATTCGCCAAAGAATAAGAAATATCATTTTTGGTCACCGTTTGTGAATCACCCTGTATATAAAGAAGCATCAATTAAATAAATTGTATTGCTTAAGCGGTTGCAATAACTATGTGCTACAAGAATGTAATCTTGTAGCACATCTGTGTAATATGTTTGCTAAAGTATTTTCGTTGACTGATTTTCAAGTCATTATATTTTACAGATATAACATATATTCAGATCTATATAAAATTGACTACGCTTGAGTGTTTAGAGAAATTAATATCTTTCAGATTAATGTAGAAAGAGGAAAACTTATTTTTGGAAAGCAAAGGATTTATCTCCTTGCAAGAATATTTCTTCCTGTTTGATGAGAAAATAGAGAAATAGGTGATTTGGATTGTGGCAAAATATTTGTTTATACAAAACTAACTTGATTGTTAAATTATAATTGTGGTCGATGATATCATTTCGGTATTTACTTTCCTATTTGTGGTATAGATAGATATACCTGAAGAAGAATTAGGTGTGGTACCTGTGTACGGGTGTCCATTGAGTTCTCAAGTAGAATTATATTGGAGTTGGAGTTACGGTAACCTATTTTATATAACGGATACATAAGTTACATATATATACAGATTTGTCTCGATACAGCTATAAATTAATTAATATTATCATTTATCATCTGGAATAACCTGTACTATATTGGTGATAAATTTAGTAGCCAGCTGAACGATAGAAGTTCTACTCGTAATAGAGACTGGTTGTTGAAGTATTGAACTTTAAGGCAGAACAGCGACGTTTGAAGTTGTAGACGTGTCAAGATAGAATCTGGGTAGAAACCAGCTGAACTAACATTTCGAGAAGGCTGGTCGCTTTCCCATTACAGATATAAAATCAGTTTATTGCCATAAATTTAGTATTATTTCATATACATAGGTATACAGAAAATTAACATGAGTAAAACATACATTTAAATGTTAATGATAATCTGCAAGTTCATTCTACTTCTTTTATTATATCGTCACCTTTTTTGGAGTAATTATCCAAATATTTGATTTGAACAATAACACAATTTTCGATAACAGAAATTAAAATAGGTCGAATTTGTAGTGTTATCAAAATAAGAAAATGGAAATAGTTGAACAACGATAGAGCTCCATTTTTAATTTTACAAAAAATGTCATATTAAAAATTTGTTTACAATTGAAAAATGGGAACAAACTAGGACTACGTTATTGTCAAAAGTATAGTAATTACTAACAAGAGTTGAATGGGAAAGCCAAAATTAACATAATAAGTATGTGTGTCTTCACCAGATGGCACTTCTGTCAAAGAATTACTTTCAACGTGATGTTACTCTTTCCATTCATCTCCTTGTATCGGTAACCCGGTTTAACCATTATGGATTGGCAACATATATTTTATATGAGATTATTTGAAACGTTAAATGAATTAAGATGATAATTTGAAACAATGAACTGTACATAAGTATAAGTGGAATAACGCTTAAATACTTTTTTCTTTTCTTTCTAATATTAATTATTAAACATTAAATTATTAATATCGATGTCAAATTATTACTTTTCTCAAAAATAGAATAATAAAAACGTTTTATTTATCTTTCCAAGCAGTAGTCCGTGTATGCACTGTATTTGACTTGTCAAGTTCCTGAAATTTTCTTTTAATCGTGAACGATATATTCTATAAAAAAATCCAGGAATCCCATCATAGTTTTTATCAAATTTTACATGAAGGTATGGAAGAACTTCACTGTAGGTGCCAATTTTCAAGTCTATGTCATCAATTAGCCTTGAGTAATTTAATCTCTCTCTCTCTCTTTCTGTATGTGTGGTTTTATTTCAAATAATTGAAAACTGAAACAGCACTTGGGAAGTGCTTAATTGATTTTATTTATGAGTTGAAAAAAGTATTCCATTTATTTTTATTCTAAGAATGCAACGTTTACAATAATGGAAGGTTTGTCATCGACTTGCTGCAGAAAGACCTAAACCAGGAAGTCTCAGGAAAAACTAATAAATTAAAAAATAAAAATGAAATATGTTTCTGTTTCAAACAGGCTCGTGACTAACATTGTAATTTAGCGAAATTAATGCAATGCCATTTAGAATTTCTCCCTAATACCAGCAGTTTGTTCGTTTTCCGTGCTGGATTTCAATATCCTTCCCCCATTTGAGCATACCGAATGGGGCGACTCATTTTATTGTTTCCATAGTATGGCCCATCTGAACTTATGGAATTTAATTCTTCTTTTCTGTCATACCTGTTGAAGATTCTACTGTTTCACAAAGAATTTTCTGCAACCATCTGTTACATCCGTGGAAATAAAAAACATAGATTGTTTAACTTCGTATCGGTAGAGTAGGTTTAAAATGATATACAAGGTGTTACTTTATGTGAGAGTCAGTTTCTTAAGGGTAATTGTATGTGTTCCTCAGAATACTAATCTGAAGATCTTTTTTAAGTCACATAAATAATTGAGTTATATTTTCTTTTTTAAACTATACTTAAGTCTTGTTCTACGCCACAATTGACCAGCTCCAGAACTTTATGCTGGTTATTTTCCTCTTTTCAAGTTTTCAATTTTTATATAAATTCATTTAGTATTGAATTGTTGGATATATAAACATATATATAAAAGTAGAGTTCATTTCTTAATTATTTAAAATGTTGAACGTAAAGATGAAGAATTTGAGTCGCAATTTCTATTTTTTACTGTGTTCAAGTGTTTATTTTGACGGCTTATTTTTAAGACTAATTGTAAAAAAAGAATAGTAATCAATTTAAAAATATTATTGTTTAAATTTCAGAGAGAACAAATTGATTTATTACTTCTTTTGAAAATATACAAATTCTTTGAAGGGTATAATCTACAAACGACTAACTGAAATTCTGGAACGTAACTCAAGGAAATTTGTCTAATAACCACTTTGACATTAAATAAGAAAAAAAATTGTTTACTGTATACTATACAGGGTGTCTCACGGTGACAGCCCATTAGAATTATTTCAAAGACTACATCGATTTGAATTTTGAAAATTTGGGATACCGGGTTTTCGGACATGCCTTTCTCAACTAAAACTCACCTATTTTAAATGGAACACCCTATATATTATTGCAATTTTGGATTCTACGTGTTATTTTAGGTGAACTTTTATGAATTTTCCCTATTCCTAAAATTAACCGTTTTCGAGATATTCAATTTTTTTTATATGGAGAGAAACAATGACTAGCTTCAAACCATGTATATTTTGTAGTAAGAAAGATACAGCAACAATATTTATAGGCGGGATAGCTAGACCCCTAAGCTTTCCATCCATACTTTCAAAGTGGCTCAATTGCATACAGGGTGCTAGAAATTGAATGTCGAGTTTAGTTAACTTCAAACCTTCATAAGTCGGTTCTTTAAATGGAACACCCTGTATGTTTTACTATATTCTATATACAATTTTATT